TACGCATAATGACTTCTAAAAAATTTCTTAAGAGCGCGCTGCCAGAGTGGTAGGGAATTCTAATTGCCATTTTAAAGTCAGAAGGAAAACTACAAATGGCACTAATATCGTCCCAAAGTAGCTTGTTTTTATCTTGTTAGGAAACCTTCGGAGATTTTCGGTATATTTACTTAACTCGTCACGTAAATAAGTAATTTTTTTATTAAATTTCCGCATGTGCTGATACAGTAATTATATTGTTGTAAGGAAAACCAGAAAATTCCGATTACTTCCGAAGGTATGCCAGAAAAACCGAAATCTGTCGATTTTGTTTTTATTTTTTCTGAGATCATTTGAGCAGATACAGAAAAATGAAAACACTTTTTCATTTCCACTTTTTCAACTTTACAAGGTAGCATTGAGGGATTTTTAATACACCATTTCGTTTCGGAGAAATCATCAACTGTATTTTTCTATATAGCCCGCAAAAAACGTACGCACTGTGTTGAGTAACCATTTTTATTACAAATACCACTATACAGGGTGTTTTTTTGGGAGCTTTAGTTAAAAGTTTCTGGGAAAGTAAAATAGGTAGGTTTTTGAAAAATTGTACTTAGGAGTTACTCTGAAAGCCGAATCAATGTAAAATATTGTCAAAATGGTCGCACTTCCGGAAACACCGGAAGTAGATAGTAACTTCGTTATTTTAAATGACAACCCCTATTTTTTATTGCATTTTTGGATTCTACGTGAAATTTCACTTTTATTGATACCCATATGTCGATATCTACCATTTATGGTTTTTAAGTTATTTTGACTTTAAGAAAAGAAATGGCGGATGCAGATGGTACCTTGATCATTGATTACTTGCAAACGGTTGTAGTCATGGCAACCTATTTTTATCAGTGCATAGAGAATGAATAGGGCTTTCTTTTAGTGCACTTAAAAAAAAGTTAAGTTGCGTATGACCGCCCCTATGGATATCCAAATTTATGAAACTTCAAAGACTAAAAACTCAGTTTTTTTTAATGGAATGACCATGTTCTTACTATTCCATGAGATAGAGAATCGAAATGGGCATATTTTGACAATACATGTTCCTATAGCTATCTTTAACAGTTTCTGACTTATTCCCATTTTATTGAATTGACACTATTTTTTTAGGTTTTTCTTTTTAGTAGTCGGCCATGATTCTATAACAATTGAATTTTAAACCAATCTAGTGACACTAATCCATCACCCACTGTTATTATAGGTTAACATAAGTTTTTCAAAAATCGAAAAATGACTCGCAGTGGTTTCACCTATTTTGGAATTTAATTGTTATTTATGGTGAAATGGGCAGAATCGCGGCGCGTGCTTTCCGTACATTCATTCGAAAACCGGAACGAAATTGTATGAATTTTGGAAATTTTGTACCCCTAATGCACTACAAACCGTTGAAGCACAAGTGATACAAGAGAATATTTAAGAAAATGAATTGAATTGCAAATGCAAGATTAACAAAATAAATTCAATGCAAAATATAAAAAACTTCGTTGAAACATTTTTGGTATGGAATTGTTGCTAGAACAGATATCGCATTACCTCTCTTAATTTGTAGACTTATACGTTGTTTAAGAAATTCAGTTGAACGACTCTGTTTAGATTTTTCAAAAATTTTCTGTCCTATATCCTTAATAAATGAGTTATTTATTAATGAATAATTTAGACTAGAACTAGAATCAGTGGTATTAAAGAATCCATTCCTTGATTTGTTTAAAATTCGATTGTTATAAAATCATGGCCAACTACTAAAAAGAAAATGCGAAAAAAAATGGCATCAATTGCGAGATCAATTCAATGAAATGGGAATAAATCAGAAACTGTTAAAGATAGCTATAGGAACATGTAATATCAAAATATGCCAATTTCGATTCTCTATCTCATACAATATTAAGAACATGGTCATTCCATTTAACAAAACTGAGTTTATAGACTTTGAAGTTTCTTAAATTTGGATCTCCATAGGTGTGGTTGTACGCAACTTAACTTTTTTTTAAGTACACTAAAAGAAAGCCCTATTCATTCTCTATGCACTGATAAAAATGGGTTGTCATGACTATAACCTTTTTCAAGTAATCAATTATCAAGGTACCATCAGCATCCGCCATTTTTTTTCTTAAAGTCAAAATAACTTAAAAACCATAAATGGCAGATATGACATATGGGTATCAAAAGAACTGAAATTTCACGTAGAATCCAAAAATGCAATAAAAAATAGGGGTTGCCATTTAAAATAACGAAGTTACTATCTACTTCCGGTGTTTCCGGAAGTGCGGCCATTTTGAAAATATTTTACATAGATTCGGCCTTCAGAGTAACTCCTAAGTACAAATTTTCAAAAACCTACGTATTTTACTTTCCCAGAAACGTTTAACTAAAGCTCCCAAAAAAACACCCTGTATACGGTACACTAAAAGAGGATCTTGTATTTATTTTCAAATTAACATTTTGCACCCCCGAGAAGGGTTAGTACTCTTCCCGGGTAAAAGCAACCCCGGCACAACGTCAACCATAAATCAAAACATTTGTGCAAAATTATACTGCATCGTCGTATTTTGCCTTCAATGACTATTACGGACTTCAGAATAGGTATCATGAAAGAGCGATCCTTCAAATTCATAAAGGGCCTTAAAGGATCTTTAACGAAAAAGGACACTAAACGCGCATGTCTATAAAACCCTCTAGATAGTACTAAAAGGTCCTCAAATGTTCTTAATGACTTTTACGTAAACAAGATAAATATATTGAAAACTGTATAAGTAGTGAGTATGCACGAACGGATCGCATTAATAATTTAAAACTGAAAGTTTGCATACCAACATAGTTTTTTATGATCTATCGAAGGAAAATATTGTCGTGATCATTTCATCATCATTACCCGATGTGAATAGCAACTTTCCTATTTTAAATAGAACACCCTATATTTTATTGCATTTTCGAAATCTACATGAAAATTTACGTTGTTTGATACTACATTTCCCTATACCTAGCGTCAAAGATTTTCACGTTATTCAAGTTTTTTCCAAAATTTTTGACGTTTTACTGCTTTTCTTTAGCGGCCTGTACCTGTACCTATGGCTCCGTTGACTTGAATTTCAAAAAGTCTTCCAAAATCAACAATACTGACGTGATGCTAGATGCGAATGATTTAAATTTTGATCGCCCTTCTACATGGTGTTTTAAAATTAATAACTTCAAACCTTAAAATTTCAAATGAAACCTGATTTATTTTTGTGCACTTTCAAATGTGGAAAACACGATCAATTATTACATTCCCTATACCTATCTGTTATGGTTTTCGTTTTATTTAAGATTTTCTACAATTGTGACCGTTGTATCATTGTATGCATAATTTTCTTAGGAAACCTTGAAATAAACGCTTCCCCATTATGCTTTGTGGCTGGCTGTAGCCAGTTCTGGTAAATGAATTGGCAGAGTGTGTGCCATATATAATAGAGCTATGACACAGAATAATACGTTTTAATGATTGATTTTAACACAAACTGTGTTATTGTCCGAGTACTATAGTTATTTACATAAAAGTCAGAAAAATGACACATTACTGGAGAGGAAATATTAAAGTAGGTAACAATTAGTACTTTAATTTCCGAGTCAAATAGTCTCATCATTTTACTGACGGGTTGTATATTAAATTTTACCCGAAATTGTACCTATTTGAATATAACATTTCAATTTTTATATAGAAACAGTTGATTAAGTCAATCTGTCAGAGACGTTACCAATGTGACAGATGCAGCCGAAAAGTGACAGGAGCGGCAGGAAAAGTAGTCTGGTAAAACTCCACTGCCTCTGTCGTGTAATAGTTATTTACATAATAAGTCATGAAAGTGGTCGTTTACATGACGCGGAGCTTTATTGAAAAGTACGAGGAAGCGCAGCGTCCGCCGGGTATCTCTGTAATGCTTCCAAGTCAGGTGAACTCACTTTCATGACATAGGTACTATGTATAAAATTTTACCTGAAACCGCAAAATGTAGATAACTTTTCCAAATTAAATTATTCATATGTGTAAAATTTTGATACCTAATCACGCATGCTAAAATCACTTTATTTAATTGTTTCCATAGAGATTTCAAAATAATTAAAACAATCACTGTCATTTGTACAAACCTTTTCATGACTGGCGCAAAACTAAAGGAATAATTACTTCCACATAATTGTTATTAATAAAAAACCATTATCCTTTGTGTACGTATATCTAAAAATATCCATATAGTCTGCATTATAATTATTCAATCATTGATTGAATAACTTATTCAATGAACGATCTAATTGTTATTTTGCATGTACTAGGACTGTAATGGGAGTCAGGCAAAAATATTACAGTACTAGTCAGGTAAAGATCAACTTTCTAATGTCAAAATAGTCCTGAAATTTAGATTTTCGTGACGGTTTCAGGTAAAGTAAAATTTCCTGACATAAAGTAGACATGAAAATGAAGGTTTCATGACGATTTTGGGTAAATGATTTTGCATTGCCCAAATTCATAACCGCGCCATCCAAATTGATTTTGTGGGCATTTTTGTAAGAAAAATTTTATGGCCTTTGAAATTATGTCCTTCAATGGCGGTGCGTATTATAATTTTAAATTGGGGGTACCTATAGGGATGCGTGAGTGAATACTAAACCTAAGGTAAACCTTTCCATTAAACTTCCCCCTAGCCATCTAAATATGTGGTAGGTACATAGATGTCTTTTTGCAATTGTAGCTCCTCAAATTTTTTGGGAAAATTGTTGTTTGTCTACTTACCTCTTACCCTCTTTCACCTTGCAAATTCTTCGATTTTGCCATTAAGAGCGGTAACGGTGTCATATTTAAGACATTCTTACCAGATATCACACACAGTTTTTATTTAGATTTTACTTTGAAACATGGATTATTTTCTATTTTAGTTTTAAAATACGCAAAAAGCACATTCCTTCAATACTACATTTTTTTAAAGCTTTGCACTTACCCAACTCCATGGGATACAGCCATGAATTGATGTCCAGAATCAAATCCATTTTGAAGGACTCGCTTTCGCAATGTAGACGAGTGACTGGAATTAATGAAAAAGATTACGACATATGAAAAATTGTAACCCTTAAATTGAGAATGTTTCATCCAAAAGACAAGAAAAGTCATTATCGTTTAGATATAAACTTAACGAACAGGTATGAACTGCTTTTCCTGTAATATACAGGGCATCGCAATGCATCGAGTTCAATGTCAAGTTCGCTGATGACTGTAGGCGGCAGTATATCATGTGTAAACTATTACAGATGAAGATAGACGTAGGTATGCATATGTATGTGCATGCTATATTTAATCGTCGTAAATACATCAACTTGTCCAATGTCAATTAGAAACTGTTTTGCGAGTTTTGCGAAAATAATAATTCATCACCGAAAACTTCCTATTAATTGGCATTGACCAGAAAATTATCCGCCATATGGTCAATTAATTGGCGCATCTCAACTACAATATAAAAAACGCTTTTTTTAATATTTACTTACTCGTAAAGGGGAATGGGGTGTTTAAAATTTTGATCTCAAAACTGAAATTCGGTTTCGGAAATAAAAGAAAATGTTTGCACGTTGGCTGTGACTGTGAAAAACCAACAAATCGTTATAACAACGAGATGCTCACCCTTCTTTGCTCTTGAGGTAATGCAAAGACCCCAATTTTGACAGATAACTCGTTTTATAGCGAGTATTTTTATTGGAGTTGTGTAAAGTCTTAAATATTGGGGAACCTACTTGACTCAAAAATTGTCATAAAAATTAACGACATTTTTCTATCTTTACCGCTTTCTACAATATACGAGTATATCCTTATCAAGTTACACGAAAATCGCGGCGATGATGAATGGAGAATGCACAGAGGTAGGTCAAAATTCTTTGTGCGCATTATTGTCGGCGTAAGTGGGAACGCGTTCGTTCTTTGGCAGCTCATTGTAATTGACACATTTTTGTAAATACCGCGCAGAAGAAGGAAATTACTATTTGATGTTAGTGGGGTTCTCTTAAATACTGCCGACAACGAAAAAAAGTAGCCGGTTCGCGACGGTTGAAACACAGTGTAAATCTCTTTACACTATAATTATTTATTCAAGCTGTCCGCCCGAATTCAAGCCGCAGTTAGTCATTTTTATAGTGATTCAGAAGAAACTTAACTGAAGTTGTTTAAAAGCGGTTAAAGCGCGTTGTCTGTTTTACAGAAAAGTTAGTCAAGTTGAAGTATAGGAAGTAGTCTTAGTACAGGGCAAGGCCTTCTGTTCAGATCTTTTGATGCGTTTTGATGTGAAAAATTAAAAGTTATACCACTCGCATAGCCACCGATATGTTCATAATCGTACTCAACATGTCATTTATCGCCCGTCTGCGTACGGGGTACTGTGTAAAAACCACCTTTGTAAGTTTTCTATATTTCAGGAATTTTGTTTTAATTTCCATTTTATGAGTTTTCAGTTTTGGAATAAATTTTTGTCATTGTCAGTAAATTAATTGTGTTTATTCGAACCCCATTGTGCGAACTGTATAGTCTTGATGTCAGATTTATTGTATCATATCCAAGATTTATTTCAGGTGTTGATAAAAATTTGTTTAATAAATTATTTGGAATTTCGGAAGTTAATCAAGGCCACTGAGTCTCCCAAATTCTTAAGTCAATATATGGTCTTTTCTTTGTAACAGGCCGAAAGTGTACGAGGAGAAATGATAAAAATTCTATTTCACTTTTGATTGAATCACATCCTAGAGACCACGTCATAGAGATCGTGACATACGACAATCCACAAAAAATTACAATTTGGCAACAGTAGCAGTTGATTAGTATTTACGGAGGTGTGTTGAATATTTTGTTGTGTTAACAGCGTCATGTGGACGTTATTTCGGTTTAAACACGAAAAATAATGTATATGAGAAATATATGTTAATTTTTTAACTGTCAATCGGTAGGGGCAGGAGGTATTCACGAATAACACAGAGTTGGTGCGCTTTACTTGAATTTGTGCCTCATTGTTATTTCTCCTTTTGGTTTTCTTTGTAATTGCACAATTTTTTGTTTAAATTGTATCATTTGTGTAAATTGTTCGATTTAGATAAAACGCATTAAGTAAGAAATCACTGGCCAAGTTGAGTATTTTTATAAGACGTTTTATTTTAGTGTTTGCAATAAGGAGTCTTATTATCGGATGTGATTTAATTAACGCACGTGTTGTAGTGCTGACAACAAGAGTTGTAGGTGGTCGACGATGTACGGATTATTTTCGGCGTAAGTGGGGACGCGTTCATTCGCAGTGAGCGTTATCTAATCTAAATGTAATTGGCGCATTTTTGGTAAATACCGGAGAAAGGAGATTATTCTATCGTGGAAGAGGTGTTCCCTTAAATACGTGACACAAGGTAGAATTGGGGCTACTCTTTTTAGTTCGCGACGGTGAAAAAGCGTATACATTTGTTTACGCCAAGTTACGGGCGTCTGTCCCTTTTACTTTTCTTGAAGACACAGTTCGTCAGTTTCGTAATAAAATGTGCAAAAGAAGTTAAGCGGTCTTGGTAAAAGTTTTTGGAAAGTTTTTTAACGGTTTGTCCGTATTCAGTAAAAGTTAGTACGAATAGGAGTCAACAAAGCGGTTGTCTGCTAAGTGAAAGTGAAAAACTTTCTACCGTCAGAGCAGCCGCCGAGAATCTTTTTCATTTTGTTTATCAAGCTAGTTCGAATTATTCAGTTCAGTTTTTTGAAAGTCAAAGTGAAGTTTCCTGAATCTGTCAGCGAGTGTTTTGATAAGTGCGCCTGAATATTGCAAACCATTCATGACTAGATTGTTTAGGTTGTTTAAAAGAAAGAAAAAAAAACCAAACAATTTTAAGATTTTTTTAAATTTTTAATTATCGAACGCCTTCGTGCGGTGTAATTACTTTAAGTAAGCTTCTCGTTCTTTCAGGATAGTGTTTTGTCAGATTTCTTCTTTTCTGCTAGAAGAATCCGAGATGGAAAATAAATTTCCCTGCTGCATTTTCCGAAAATGCGCAGTTCAAATAGGAACGTACCAGGGTACTCGCGTGTCGCGTCTACCCATCTGTTGACGCGGTTCAATACCATCATTATTTCAGGCGTTGACCATTTTCATGGTAAATTCTTTGTAATTTTCGGAAGCTGATCGAGTCAATATCGGGATTTTTCTTTGTAGCAGATACCGGAAGTGAAGTTTCAATTTTGATTTGTTGGAGCTAATTGGACAGGTGTTTTGTGGGTGGTGTAGGTGACAGTATGCCATTGCACACAGCAATATGAACTTAGAAACGATGTGCATGTGTAAATTTATTGTTTAGTTAAGCAATTCAAACGCATGCGAATTTTCAGAGTAGGTAAATGTGATACTGTATTAATCAAGTCGTGTTTATAAACGGGCAATCAAAAATGAGTGGCGGTCGAGTCGCCTTTGGACATGTAAACAAAAATTCCAAAGGTGACTTGACATCCACTCATTTTTGATCGCATAGTATTTTAGGTTACGTTTGAAACCATAGAGTAGGACTATAAAATTCTGTTGTGTGTTACCATAGAATAAATGAATGTGCGATTGTTCAGAAATAAGTTTGCATTATACGGTATACCGTATCAAAATTGTTTGATCTAGTTATAACAAATTAACGAACCACATAATAATAAGTTTAGGTACATATGAAATATTACAATCATAAACCTAATTGACAACGATGGTATTGAATCGCGTCAACAGATGGAAAGACGCGAAAACCCTGGTACGTACCTATTTGAACTGAGCATTTTCGGAAACGGCCGCAGGGAAATTAATTTTTCATCTCTGATACTTTTAGCAGAAAAACACAATTGTCATTCATTATAGCAACGCATAATTTACAACGTAAAGTAGGCGCACCTATTAATATTTCGAAAGGGAAATGCATTTTCATGATTTTTAAAAAGATAAAAACGGATTTAGGGTTCACAGTTTAACTTTATTACGCCATTGCAAATAATTGCAAAAATTATATTACATTTTATCGCAGATTATTTCAGGAGTTAAGATTTTTATTTTGCAACTGAAGTCCCCATCAGTTTAAATTAAAATCTCTTTTTTTATAACACATTGAATATGTTGATGATTAAAAATAGACATCTTTACTAAAATATGAAGTTATACAACAGAATTTGATCACTGCTGTGAGGACGATCATACCGGATGATAACAGATTACAACAATCAAGACATTTTAGACTAATCTCCCAATGCACTCGTCAATGTTATTCCACAATCACACCAATCAGTTAGGGGGTAGATACTGGGAATGTTACATAAAACGGGTGGTCTGGCAGAACTCCAAGGTATGCAAGAATCGGTGGACTTGACGTTCGCCATTTTGCATGCTAGACATTTTTATTCCGATAAACTACATATTGTTATACTGTAGGTAACTTATAGACCATATTATGTCATACTACGACATCGCCGCACAAGTAAGTTTTTCTAGTAAGATTGCTGGTTACCCTTTTCATATTTAATATATATAGAAAGAGAATAGGAATAATTTACACGAGATTACATAATATAACATGTTAACCTTTAACTCTCCATTAGTGTGACAGAAACCTCGTATACACTACGCAGATATTGAGGGGTAGATTTAAGTTTCCAGTTGGATGAGAATTGTAATTCCAGAGGGAAATATAATCAGACAGGAGATCCCGACCTAGCAATTACAAGAGGTTTCTACGCGCCGCACCACTTAAAACCGATCCCTCTCGCAAGCCCGCAGATAAAGCAAAGTTTCCAGTTTTGAAAATGATCGCTACGTAAATAAACATTTCAAAAGGTGCGTTTATTGATACATCGCGTGTGATTACAATTCGCGTTCCGAACGCCGCCGCGTACAAGCGAGGTTTTTCAGGCTTTTATGTATGTCTGCCTCTACTATGTAGATCTTTCCTCTGATCTGTTGATAGGTATACAAAGCAGGAAAAGTCATTCGCGACTCACGCCTGTGAGTAAGAATGTCGACTATTTGCATTACACGAGTGCGTCATTACGTTAGTC